GGAAAGACTGAGTTTGCATTTGGATGATGCCTGTGGGCATATAGGACTGCATATAAAACGCCCCATTGGATGTCACCTTTTCGTTTGGTGTTTGGGAAAGCATGCCATCTTCTAGTTGAGTTAGAACACAACGCTTATTGGGCAATCAAGAGTTTTAACATGAAGATGGATGAAAGTGGAAACGCAGGAAGTTGCAACACAAGAGTTAAGGAAATTCGCAATGTGCCTATGAAATGCAAATTTACAAGGAAAAGACGAAAGCTTTTCATGACAAGATGATCTCTAGGAAGAGTTTAAAGTTGGTCAAAAAGTCCTTCTATACAATTCACGGCTTCATTTATTTCCGGTAAGTTGCGTTCTCGTTGGATTGGACCTTTTGTTGTTACTAATGTTTTTCCTCATGGGCAGTTGAAATTCAAAGTTTAGCAACTTCCAAAGTGTTCAAAGTGAATGGCCATAGACTTAAGACTTTCATGAAGGTTTTCAAGAAGAAAATATGGCAAGATTGGACCTTGAGGATCCAATTTATACTGATTAAAGAAGACAGCCTTGATCGAGCCAACACATAAACAAGGGGCTGCTTGGGAGGCAACCTAAGAGAGTTTGCTTTCTTATTCTCGCATTTTAAATTTTGGTTATTTTTTGCATTTTCTTTGTATTTCATCTTACATTGGGACTGTCAGTTTTAAGTGTAGGGGAGGGGATTTAGGTTGTGGTTTAATTTGTCAAAAAAAAAAAAGGAGTTGTTTTTAGGGAGGTTTATGCTTTAGTCATGTCTTTGAACGTCTAGTGATGTATGAAATAGTAACTTGACTTGGTTATTGAGCATATTCCTTGACTTAGGATGTTAGCATATTTCATAAAATAGAGTTAATCAGATTTGAATCTTTGTAGTTTGAAACAAACGTCTTGATAAGTTGTGTGAACTTGGTGACGAGCATGATTGAGGATGGTGTGCTGTCGTAGGCAACCAGATTAATAACCTTTCTAACCTAACTACTAAACTGTAAATAGGGTAAGAGGCGTCGATCCCATGAAGAGTGTCTAGCTGAATTTTCGATGATGTGAATAAGGCTAGGGGGTTTTGAGTGAACAGAAAACAGTCTTAGCAAAAATCAAAACAAAAAATTTAAATCGAAATCAATTAATATAACAAAACTTGGTCTCAGACAACATCCGCCATCGAATCTTTCAAACTGCATTGATGCAAAATTAAATCATACCATACCTGAATATTCACTGTTGGAACTATTTTCCTATCTCCTTAATTGTAATTATCAAGAAGCAAGCGATCTTAATTAATCTTACCACTAAAACCCTGACAAGCGCTCAAGATTTAACCGAGTGGCAGCCTTAAGAATAGAGAAATCGATAAGCTACAACACAAACACAAGCGGTTGTATTTAATTTAGTTGAATGTTCTTCTTAAGATTACTAATTCTTGACGCAGCGAATTATTAACCCTAATTGCTTCACAAGTTAGAGGGATCAAACAATTACGGATTTGATATCTAACTTAGCAGTAGATTGCAACAATTAATATACTAGTAGGCCTCCCTAGTAATTAAATGAAACAATCATAAAATGGCATAGAAAACATCCAATACCAAACATGAAAATTGAACACTAAGAAAAATATATTAGATCTCACAGTTTAATGATTTCGAGGCCTTCGTTTCCTTCGACCAAGTTACAAGTTCTAGCTGCCTATGGCCATAACAAAACTCAAGAAAGAAAAATTCCAAAACTGAGAAGAAAGAGACTGGTCCCCCTCAAAAACCCTAATCGATCCCTTTGCAAAAATCCCTTTTTAGAATTCGAATCCCACTCAATCTCCTAAAAGAAGTATTCTCTATCCTAAAATAACATTCATCCTAATTTAATTCTAATTAATTTAAAATAATAGAGTCCTAAAATAAAATAGGAAGGTGGTGATTCTGAGCTGTACTTGTGTGCCCCATGTCCTCAAATCTTCCAATAATAAATTGCCCAATTGATTTGCATGACAAGGCAGAATGCTCTAGGACGTCCAGTGCAGATACGTCAACTTCAAGCTCGATTACAACCTTGATTCAGTGAGTATATCTCCAAACTCAAAACATGAAAGTTGTAGATATTTCTTAGCGTTACAAGCATATTGAATCATCTCATCGAGCTCGGATGAGGAGTTATGCCCAGATTACGAAACAACGTCAAACTGTCCGAATTCACTTATTTAGTTCCGTTTTGCAATTAACGCCTCCATTTGCATCCTAATCAAAATAGAATAATAATGAATATATTAGGCAGCAAATAAGTATAAAAGACTAGACATTAAGGGGGTAAATGACATTTTGCATTCCCATCAAGAGTGTATAACACCTTTAGAAAAAAATAATAAAAAAAATTGTATTCTCTTAAGCTAGTCCTAAATTTGGGTTTAAGCAAATAGGAAAAAGAAAATAAAGGTATGTGGTGAGTCGAGATGGAGTGTAAAACGCACTCACTCATAAACACAACCATGAAATGAGATGGAGCATAAAATGCACTCATTCTTTTTTCAAAACAGAAAAAAACAAAAAAAATATATATCCCTAGTTTGCTACCCAGTTTGTAGTAGTAAAGAGAAACAGTTGAGGAAAAGTTGAGAGGGGAGTTGTACATGAATTGGTTGTGATTAGTTTCCTTGTTTGCATTGACTGATTGAGAGTAATTGTGAAAAATGATGAAGAGAGATGAATGTCACTAGCTCTATTTTATTTTATTTTGCTGCTTCCTAAGTTAGGTATGAATATGCATGGATTAAATATTGTTTCTTATGCATCATGATGGTGTTCTTGATATGACTTGAGATGATGGTGTTCTTGATATGACTTGAGTGTAGTGTTTGTTTGAAGTAGTTTGCCCGAGGATGTGCAAAAGCTAAGTATGGGGGAATTTGATGAGAATGCAAAATATCATATTTACCCCCCCTTTTAATGTCTAGTCTTTTATACTTATTTTTTGTCTAAATATACTCATTATTATTTTATTTTGATTTAGGATGCAAATGGAGGCGTTAAATGCAAAACGGAACTAATTAGGGGAATTCGGACAGTTTTGACATCACTTCGTAATCTTGGCATAACTCTCTCATCCAAGTTCCGATTGAGATGATTCAAAATGATGTGGAACCCTAAGAAAGAGATCTACAACTTTCATTTTTAAGTTTGGAGAGATACTCACTGAATCAAGGTTTTAATTGGGCTTGAAGTTGACGCACCTGCACTGTCGACGTTCTGGAACATTCTGCCTTGTCATGCAAGTTAATTAGGCAATTTATTATTGGACGTTTTGAAGACCCGTGGCACGCAAGTTACAGCTGGAGACACCACTTTCCTATTTTACATTAGGACTTTATTTTATTTTCATTTAATTAGATTAGGATAAAGGTTATTTTAGGATATCAGAATATTTTTAGGATTCTTAGGAGATTTTCCAGATTTGAATTGGATATTTTTAAAAGGAGAGAGAGATCAGATTAAGAGGACACACACACCTCTCTTTCCTCTCTTCTACAAATTTTCATCTTTTGAGTTTTGATTATGGCCATGAGCGTAACTTGGTCGAAGGAAACGGAGACCTCGGAATCAATAAACTATGAGATCTAATCTATTCTTTTTAGCGTTCAATTTATGTTTTGAGTATTGGATGTTCTTCTATGCCTATTGTCATGATTGTTGCGTTTAATTACTAGGAGGCCTACTAGTTTATTAATTGTTGCAATCCACTACTAAGTTAGATATCAAATCCGTAATTGTTTGATCCCTCTAACTTGTGAGTAATTAGGGTTAATAATTTGCTGCGTCAGGAATTAGTAATTCCTAAGAAGAGCACTTGACTAAATTAAATACAACTACTTGAGTTTGTGTTGTTTAGCTTCATCGATCTCTCTAGGTCTTAAGGTTGCTACTACATTAAATCTTCAGCGCTTGTCTAGGGTTGTTTAGTAGTAAGGTTAATTAGATCGCTTGTTTCCTAATTAATTATAATTAAGGAGTGATAGGAAAATAGTTCCAATGGTGAATATTCAGGGTATGAATTGATTTATTTTTGTATCGATGATCAGTTGTAAGATTCCAATAGTGGATGTCGACGTAGACCAAGTTTCGTTATTTTGATTGATTTCACTAATTTAGTTTGAATTGCTTTTCCTGAAATTGTTTTCTGTTTTATTCAAACCAACCCCCCCGCCCCCAACCTTGTTCACTTAACATAAGACTCGGCTAGACGTTCTCTGTGGGAACGATCCTTACTCATACTACTGCATGTGTTTTTAGGTTTTAATCTTGGTTGCCTACAATAACACGTCACTTCCTCAAGAGTGGGAATAGGAATTTGAATAAGAATTAATTTATTGATTTTTAAGAATTTGAATAAGAATAATTTATTATGTTTACAATATTACTGCAGCTTTGTTTGTGACGCTGTAAATGGTTGGTGTGCTTGAAAATTCAATCAAGGTTAGTTTAACTTTAGGTGTGAAAATCAGTATTTAGTTTCATGTTGACTTAATGCATTTGGGTGTATGCATGTTTTTGTGTATTGAATTCTATTGATGCTCGATTTTGACATCAACTACTTGCACATGTAAAATGTTAAAATGATTTAGAGGTCACACGTGATATGGGAATATTCAGTAGAATAAGGGATGAGAGGCAATGTTTAAAGTGGTTCGGATGCTCGCAAGCGAATCTTACGTCTACTGCTATTGTAATAATAAGAGAGTGATTAGATCGCTTTCAGCAAGCTGAATTACAATTTAGAGAGTGAGAGCTATTTCAGCATAAAAATTAGCTAATCACCTTAAATGAGAGGGAAGTCATCTATTTATAGTAGGAAAGTTCAAGGTAATGATTATGAAAGCTGTAAGTGGGTAGGTGCGTGCAAATCCTTTCTTTGCATCCCATTAATCACCTACCTAAGGGATTTCCTCTATTTAAAGCAGGCGATCTCTAGCTGCTTGCTGGTCTGGCACTCACCTGCTACACTGACAGGAGCCATGCCACTTGTGCTAGGCACGACGTGGCCGTACCTGGATGGCGTAGAACCCTTATGAACTCTGACCATCCTTTACTGATGAGGCCACGTCAGCCCTACTTTTTTCGGCATAGCAAATTCTTTTATGTTATTTCAAACAATGGATATGAGAATGACTTTATTTCATGTTGATAGTATACGTTAATCCGGAGTTATAGTCTTTCTTTAAATTAATGTGTTGTTGCCCAGTTGAATTGAATCCTTGTTTGGCTTCTTAATCAATCCAGTGTGCTACCTACCATATATTTTAATAATTTCTACTGTTGTGTTTTTTTTTGGCTTGCTAATTTTTTATCAAGTGACTTCTGTCTGAATTACATAGAATGTTTTGTGGTTATCATCAATAGAATGAATGAGATGGGAACTTCAAGCTTTTCTAGCATGGTATCTATACATTTAAAGATTCAATTAAAAGCATTCAGATCAAGCAACATACTATCTCTTTTTTTTTTTTTTTTTTTTTTACCATGGTTGATAGTCCACGTATATAATTTAATGCGGAATTTAATCACTTAGCTCCAATCATATTGTTCAAGTGTTTTTGAAAGTCAAATGTGAATGATTTGTGAGTGAATGTTTGAGAGATGTCTTCTAACCTATGCCTCTAGAACCTTTTGTGTTTTTGTGATGTATCTTTGATGGAGAACATGATATCCTCCCGTCAAGGATCAAGAGAGGTAGTTAAATAATTCCTTTAAACCACTTTGAACTGCATAATTGTATAATTGTGGCATGTGACCCCATCAGGTCTTACAAGTCTGTAATAGCTTCTTTTCTACTAGTATACTTAAAAAAATATTTTAAGAAAACACACATTTATTATATGAAAAGTAGATCGGCCCAAATTTTCCTTTACTAAACATATAATTCTTTACATAATACAAAAATAACATAAACAAAAGCTTTTACAACGGTGGACAGTAGTGCAATTTCTCTCCGCTTCTCGACGTCCATCCGACCGCTTCTAACCTATTTCTTGCAAAACATGGAAAAATAACGGGCTGAGCACAAAATGCTCAGTAAGTAAATCCTCTACTCTTCCATCCCCGTGACTTTCTCTTTGGTTTTTTCCTTACTCTATTCTTTCTCTTCTTCATTCTCTCTTTGTTCTTTCTATTTTCTTTCTCTGTTTCTAGTTCTCACTGTTCTTTCCTTTCTTTCTAATTCTCTCTGTTCTTTCTTTCTTTTTGTTCTTTCTTTCTCTCTGTTCTTTCTTTATTTTTGTTCTTTCTTTTTCTCTATTCTTTCTTTCTCTTCGTTCTTTCTTTCTTTCTGTTATTTCTTTCTTTCTTTCTGTTCTTTCTTTCTTTCTAGTCTTTCTTTCTTATTCTCACTAACCATGATGGAAATCATGGTAACATGCATGGATGAGGTGCATATGCACTAATGCAAAGAAATTCATTTTCTTTCTTCTTTTCTATATCTTATTATGCTTCTTTTCTTTCTATTCTTTTCTTTCTTTCTTTTTCTTTTCTTGCTTGCTCAAGCTCTTCTTTTCTTTTCTTGCTTGCTCAAGCTTTCTCATTCTTTCTCATTCTTTCTTATTCTTTGCTGATTGGACTCGGTTGATGCAGGGATTCGGAACCCTTGCCGTGTGAGTGAGTACAATCCTCATCTACATGCACTCTTGCGAACTGAACAAATTCTTTCTTCTTCTTAGGCCACTCAATTAAGGTGGCGTGCATGTAGGAAATTCTTCTTGGTATAGCCCTCATCCACATACACTCTTATGGGCCGTACAAATTCTTCTTCTTAGTAGGCCGCTCACTTAAGGCGGCGTGTATATGGGAATCTTCTTCTTAGCACCCACGGGTTCCTCGTCTCAACAATTTTGCACTTCTTTAAATAAAATTCAGATTTGGAACTTTTTAATATTCTCATTTCTTTCTATTTAATCTTTAACATTCTTTAGTTCTTTTTCATGCTCTTATGAATATGTATGCATGTAGATGGCTTCATGCTTATAATTCTTTCTAAATTCACATGTTTAAATGCAATTATGCAATATGGAATGCAAACATGTCATTCTCCACCATCTACAAACTCATCCCAATACAACACATAATCATACTCATATAAACACTTCTCTTTGACATTTCATCAAACAACTTATGTGCACAAAGTAACCCTAATTTGGCTACATTTCTATCTCTTTTCTAAGCCACCAAAAATTGGGAATTAAACCCTCCATATTCAATGCCAAATCTGCCCAAAATATATACTTCAAAATTTCCACTCCAATTCTTCCAAATCTCATCCAAACATTCATCAAACATCCAATACACCAACACAACTACTCATGGGTAAATTATAATCATCATCCAACACCAAATCCATCAACAATTTCTACATATAAGACATATGTATACATAAAAGAAATTCTCTACACCATATCTTAAATCATACATAGGGTAGGATTTACTTACCTTATATAAGAGCAATCCAACACTTTAAAAACCTTCTTTGATCCAACTCCCTTTCTCTTAAATCCTATGAACATAAATCATCAAAATTCAATACTTTGAAATCTAAAACTCACTTCTTAGTGCAAGGATCTTACCTAAAGATGCTTGGGATTGAAAATCCACCCAAAAATACCCAAACTCTATGAATTTCCTTTGAAGAAGAATTGAAGAATTTGAGAGAATATGGAGGTGAAAGTGGCGTGCAAATGGGTGAGAGTGGCATGGGTTTCACCCTTCAATTTGATATAGCCTAAAAATATATATATTAGTTTCCCATTTTGTCCTTGCACTTTCTTTAAAATTCCATCTATTTCCCTTAGTCAATTACCATAATGCCCTCATTTTTATTGCATTCTTCATGAAATTCTATCTCTTTTCACTCCCCACAATTTCAACTAATTTTGAGTGAAAAGACCATTTTACCCTTAATGCAAGTTTAAGGCATTTTCTTCACATTTTCTCAAAATAACTTCAACAAAATCAACTAAGAGTATAAGAACATAAATTAAATTACGTACCTCCATGTGGGCATTACAAAGTCCAACTTCTTTTGCAAGTTTCTGTCGGGATGAGTTTAATTCCTTTTCTCGGCTCAACTGGTACACCATTGATAATCAGAAGTTAAAAGCAAAGGCAATGCATCGCAGGCTCTTAGCTGTCATACCCTTAATAATTGTTCCAATTTGCATTCTTTCTTCACCATCAATGACTTTCATCGCACCACTTCTGTCATAATAATGCGAATGCATGGCTAGTATCATCTCGGTAGCTGCCTTCCAATGTGTGTGAACAACCTTTTTGTTGATCCTGCTCATCAAGACACCACTTCTCTTTTTCTGATCTGAATTAAAGGCCTCTACATGGATTATGTCACAATTTTGTTTTGACACATCCAGGTTCATTTCCAAGTCTAACACAGCCTAGGAAAGTATTGCTTTCTCAGTTTGGACTACCAGATATCTCAGTTGGTGATCTAGAGTTTGACTAATAGACAATACCAATTGTGTTTAGACCAACCTCTTCTTGTAGCAACTCATAAACGTTAGCAGCTATATCCGTATCCTTCATTGCTTCCTTTCCAACCCAAAACCCTAGCACTTTCATTTAATTCAATGTAAGCGTGCCTGCTTTGTCTGACCAAATTGTTGTTGTAACGCCCACACGGAGGTATCTAATTTAATTTATGTTTTTATAGCCCTTAGTTGATTTTTGTTAAAGTTATTTTGAGCGAATATGAAGAAAATGTCTTAAACTTGCATTAAGGGTAAAATGGTCTTCTTACTCAAAATTAGTTGAAATTCTGGGGAGTGAAAAGAGATAGAATTTCATGGAGAATGCAATAAAAATGAGGGCATTTTGGTAATTGACTAAGGGACAAAGATGAAATTTCTAAGAAAGTGTAAGGGCAAAATGGGAAAGTATGCCTATAAAATTAGATATTAAGGGTTTAGTCTTACAAACCCCCTCATTTCTCTTCTTCCACCGCCACTTTCATTCTCCGCTTTCTCTCAACTTTTCACTCAATTTTCCAAGGATTTTTGAGGGCTTTTGAGTGGATTTTGATAAGGTTTTGATACTATGCAATAAGAGGTAAGAATTCTTGCTCTATATATAAGATTTATTTGTGTAGAAGTTGAATTCTTATTAAGTTTATGCTTAGAGTTAAGGGGAAATTTGAGTCCAACAAGAGTAGAGAGTTTTAGTGGAGATTACTCAAGTATAAGGTAAGTAAATCCAACTCAAGTTAAAGTTTAAGAAATCAATTGAGTAGAGATTTCTTTAAGCATGTATATGTTATGATTGTTGAGAAATTGAGATGAGATTGGTGATTATTTATGCTTGTTGTTGGATATATTTGAGTATGAGAAGTGTTTTTGATTGTATGATGATGGATTGAAGTTCGGTTGAAATTGGAAGAGTTTAAGAAATTTTTTGGAGTGTTTTGCCCTGATAGGGATTGCGATGATACAAGAGAGTTTTACTCTCATTTTGGATGGTTTAAGAAACAAGTAGAATTATAGTTAAAGTAGAGTTTGTATCTGCACAATTATTGTTTGATGAAATACCTAAGAGAAGCATGAGTATGAGTAGAAACCTTAATTTTATGCAACATTGCATATTTGCATTTCATGAGTGCATTTAAGTAAGAATTCTAAGCATGAGCCATCCATATGCATATATTTGTATATGTGTAGTAACTTAAGAAAGAATAAAGAATTTTAAGAATAAAACACTTTAAGAATAAAGAGAAAGAAAGAAAAAGCACTAAAGAATTAATGAAAGAAAAAGTGTTAATGAAGAGAAAAGAATAGGTTGTGCGATGGGGAACCGTGAGTGCTAAGAAGAAATTCCCACATACATGCCACCTTAATTGAGTGGCATAAGAAAAAGGAGAATTGTACGACCCGTAAGAGTGTATGTGGATGAGGGTTGTACCAAGAAGAATTCCTACATGCACACCACCTTAATTGAGTGGCCTAAGAAGAAATAAAGAATTTGTATGATCCGCAAGAGTGCATGTAGATGAGGACTATACTCACTCACACGGCCAAGGTTCCGAATCCA